ATCCCCGAATCACTAGAGAGCTTTTATAATTTTGACTCGTATTTTATTGGTAGTTTGGCTTAGACCACCACATACATACATACATACATACATACATACATAAAATCTCTTTATCTTGTAATCGAAAATCATAATAGACAGGTGAGAGGTACTAATTATAATGGAATCATTTGCTAGATGTAGCCCTATTTTAAGGGTAAACAAGAATAAAATCATGCGTCTCGATTTTCTTTGTCACATGTACTTTCTATTTTATTGTGTTCGTGTGTCTAATCCTAACAGTTTTAAGGTCAGGTCTACAATTTTTTACCAAAACCCTGACAGTCATCAAAGTTTTATATACAAATTTTCGAGCTAGGTTAGCCTAGCTTGGGGAGAGGATTATCAAATAGATGCATTTTGACTCCACCCAAAAGTACATTTGATCTCCATCGAGCTAATTTCATTAAAAACCCCAAACTTTATGTTATGTCCCAAATCTACCATAAACTTTTTTCCATCTCATAAAAAGTCACCAACTTTTATATTATACCCAAATCTATCCTCTATTATTTTTCCATCCAATTATACCCTTATAGCCTGATGTGTCATCTATTTGTCTTCTTTTACACGTCAGCTTTGTTGAATTTCTTTTTTTTTCTCCTTCTTCCCTTTACCGCCGCCATGGACAACCTGTGTGAACGACACTGTTCATCGTCTTCTTTGCACAGACATGCTCGGCCACAGTTCATCGGCACTCACCCATCTCCACCCAAAACTCCGACGCCCACCACGACCTCCGACAACCCCCCCACGACTATGGGCAGTCGTCGGAATCATCTCCGGCAGTCTTAGTCAAGACCCCTATTTCTGGTTCTAGTTTTTCAAGCTTCAAGAAGGCATTTTTATTGGACATTACGTTTGCTTAGTCATCCCCGAAGCTTTGTAGATCCATTTCGTGCCCAGACGATGACAGAACGAGCCCAAGCTCTTCTCTCTCTCACTCTATGCTCTATGGTCGACCTCCATTAATGGAGGTTGCCACCCGCAATTAAGGCACGCGACCTCACATTTGAGTTAATCTCTCCTCTTGAGCTGAACAAAACGGAACCAAGACTCAGTTTCGCACATGCCTTTGAGCTCTAACTCACATATTCACTTCAAAATCGAATCATTTTGGCCTCAAAACCCCTGATTTCGACCATTTTTAGTCCTTAAAATTCTCATAACTTGAACTTACTTTTGGTAAGTCTCACTAAAATGCACCAAGACCCATCATCACTGTTTCAACCCACAACAAGTCCTCAATTCCCAGAGCAAGAACAGCTAAAATGCCCTCCCTGTGATTCCATCAGTACCAAGTTCTGCTACTACAACAACTCCAACCTCTTTTAGTCACGCCACTTTTGCAACAGCTGCTGTGGCTACAGGACCGCTGGCGGTGCCCTCTGCAACATCCCCGTCGAACGCGGCATCCTGAAGGCCACCGGTTGATCTCATGGCTGGGTTGATGGTGGTTTCTTGTGGCAGAAGTGAAGGGACAAGAAGAAAGGAAAAAAAATGAAAAAAAAACATTAATTTGGAAGATTAAAATGACGTGGAACTGACTAGTCAAATTCTAAGGGTATAACTGGACGAAAAATAGCAGAGGGCATATTTGGGAAGAAAGTGGAAGTTTGTGATTTTTTATGAGACAAAAAATAGTTTGGGGTAGAATTAGGACAATACCCATAGTTTGGGGTTTTAATGGAATTAGGCCGATCTGCATCATAGCCCATTTTTAAAATAGTGGACTTTCTTCTAATTAAACAACTAGTGACGCAGATACAGGTAAGGGGGGACAATGTACTAGGAATTCTATATATGTTGCTTAAGTTGTTATTGGACGTAGGAAAATTGGAAAATCTGAACTTGGGAAACACCTAGCACTCACGTAATCTGTCTTATCTAAAAAGTTTATGGTAAGAATTGTCCTAAGAATGCGTTAGCATCTCAGATACTCTCTTTTAATAATATTGCCCTTAATAACTTTTAATATATCTTTCTTGACATCAGGTGACCCCACAAGGACAAGCATAAAATATTCAAAAAACCAAAAAAAAAAAATTAGAGAACGAGGAAAGTGTTATTAATTCATTAAATGTGTTGGAAATTCTAAAACTTGTTACGAAAGTGCAATTGAGTCAATTAAAATCTCGTCAAGTTAGTGCAATCAAGTCCTTCCATTAAGCCCATCCGACTTGACAAACGGAAAATGACAATAACTTTTAGGACTTGATTGTACCAACTCGACAAGTTTTAAGATTTTGATTGGTTCAATTGTACTTTCGTAACAAATTTTAGGACTTCCAGCGTACTTATCCCTATATAAATACAATCTAAATGGGTGCAAAATTAAGCAATTTTGAGTGTAGAAGAGTACATGAACAAGTCAATGAAGTAATAAGCTCTCCGGCATGAGCATCTGACCTATGGAGATGACATAGATTTGTTAGCATCTTGGTTTTGGACTTAAGTTTGGCCGGTCGAGAGATGACTGCCGTAGCAAAATGAACCACCAACTCTTATTTTTATTAGGACGGTGTTGAAAACCTATTTAAAAATGCCCTAACTTGATGGTGACCACAAAATTCTCTGCTGAAAAGAAAATAATAATAATAATAATAATAATAATGGTAATTTCACATGTGATAAATATAAAATTTTCAAGAACAGATCATGAATGTAATAAAAAAAATAAATTATCTTACTAACTTAATGACGAGAACACGCACGTTAGATGAACAGGATCAAAATCCACGGAACATCTTACTAAATCGAATTTAATGAGTCAAGATAAGACGCGAGTTAAATAACCGAAAGCTTGCTGGCGTAGAATGAGATACCAAACCTATTCTGCATGCCGGACCTGCTACGCATTTTCTAAATCACTAAGTCAACTGCACCAAGTTCGCGACGTGACATGACATGGTATTTGTCAACTGGAGTGCTTGTAATGACCTTGACATGATAATGCCCTTCCATGCTTTTTCTTTTGGACGTCTGCGTCGCTTGAGCACCATACTAATCACATCGGTTGCGGCAATGCCCGGACGGCATACTCTTAAAGAGGGTGAACACAGGCTATGAACGACGAACACGTTTAACACTTGAGCAGTCAATTCGGGTTAGATATGCAGAATCACTTGCTGATTTTTAGGTTAGAACACGAGTCCTTAGGTTGTCCACATGGCCATGCTGCATGCAAATGATGTTGGGGGATGGAGGACACGTGGGCGTTCCGTGGCCAATCGATTTGGGACTCTCTCTCTCTTTTCTGCTTCGTTTTTCAACTGTGCATGCTGAACTGCTAACCGCCTCTTATTTCAACCGGCATTTGACTTTGGACGACGAGGGGAGGGACATGTGGTGGGGCTAGGCTTATCTCGATCCTCGTGCATGAACTGAAAATACTAGATTCGTTCGGCTATTATTATTATTCATTTGTTTATTTTTCTTTCTCACCAATAAATGTTCGTGCTCAACGCCTTTATGCGAGAGAACAGACGGAAAAAGTTAAAAACAAATCCAAAAATATATTCAACGTGGCACTTTTACTCTAAACTCTTTTGGTGACATCAAAAATACAAATTATGCTCACCGTGATATATTTACCCTAAACTTTTTATTATGACATAAAAAATCTCAAACTTGTATCCATGTGATACATTTACCCTCCGTCAATATTCCGTTAGATGATTTTTAGTCAAAATAACGTCGTTAACAAGGTTCGCTTTCTGACATCCATATAGGCAGATTTTTAACGGTTCTCATTGACAGAACTTTGACAAGAATAAATGTGTCACATAGATACCAATTTGGGATTTTTGACATCACTGAAAAAAAAAAGTTTAAGATAAATACGTTACACTGAGCATAGTTTTATGGTTTCTGGAGACTTTTGCCAAAAATAATGTGCTTACAGCAATGATATTCACATAGTATGTTATGTCTTACCAACACTTCAGTTGATTTCGAATTACTGCTGCTGCTGCTTATAATATCTGGCAAGGTTTTATTAAGAGAAGCGGAATTGAAACTGAAGTAGCAACTTAACCATCAACCTCCAAGGTCCAAGTCGATTGGGGGCCTAAGGGATTTTCAGTTCAAAAGAGCTAGAGATAATTTGTTCAAATCCCATTTATTGCGGACCTCTATGCTCGTGTTATTAATAATCAAATTTAGAACTAGCTTATGAATATCTTGTTGATAGCCAAAGTTATCACCAATTACAATGAGAAGCGATTATATATATTCATATAGGTAATCTCATATCAATAAATGGTATAACCTATACTATACCTCAAGAAAACCAAAATGTATTTCCTTGAATTTTCTAAAGTTTGATTGAATTTATCCCCCTATGAAGTGTAACTTTTCTTTCCGCCATAATTAAGGATCATTATATAAAAGATATAGATGACACTTTAAACTTTAACCAACAAAAAAAATGTAGATTGTGCACACGTAGGTAAAAAAAAGAAGATTCGGATGACAAAGGCATCGTCACTTATACTTATCCGAAAATAGACAGACTTGCGTAAATAAAGTTACAGCCCGATTTGCTCATTCGAGCTATGTCCGGTTATGAACTGTATTCTTGCCACATGACACACCTCATCACGCCAACATTTGGAGCAAGATTAGTTTATCAAAGCATATAAAAAAAATGTTATCCCTTGACTCTAAAAAAAGAAAGCAAAAATCAAAAAGCAAAAAATAAAAGAAAGGAAAAGAAAGGAAAAGCAGAAGTCGTATCAGACCTTACAGGCCAAAGCCACGTAGTGATTGGGACCATGCTGATGCAGATGCATCCATATTTTGTCCTACCACCAAGTCAAATCTCTCTTCCCTTTTTGCAAGAAGAAGAGACAAATCCCATAACTTCATTTCTATCCACCACCTCTTTCTTCCCCTCCCCCCCCCCCCGCCGCTATAAATACACACACCCTCTTCTGAATCTCTTCCATCGAACAACCGTCTCTCTTAAACTTATCCACCTATCATTCTCTATTTGGTTCTCAACTCCTTTTGAGTTTTTTCTAGTCTCTTTTGTTTTGGCAAAGTTTTCTGCAAGTGCTGTCGCTTGCAGTGATGGGTTTAGCAGTGGAGAGCAACAATGGTCATGGAGTGGAGGAGAGCAAGTATCAGAGAGGAGTGAGGCATCTTTGTGAGGGAGGGATAGAAAGAGTTCCAAGGAAGTACGTGTTTCCGGTTTTGGAGAGGCCGGACTTGGATACGGAGAGGAGCAACGTCTGTTATGGCAGCAGCCAAACCCTCAAGCTTCCGGTCATCGACTTTGCTCGTCTTCAAGGCTCCAACAGATCCCAAGTTCTCAAGTGCCTCGCAAATGCTTGTGAAGAATATGGCTTTTTTCAGGTAATATATATGTCGAGCATGGCTCTGAACAGTCGAGACGTGCGCATCGTTGCCGCACAGATTGAGACACCACAGGGATCAACGTATACATATATACATATGTATATAACTATGTAGAGAACGATACAACGGGTTGGTTCAATACATAATTAGTAGTCAAAGAAACCAACAAGAACGTCAAGGTTTACTGATCCTGGAGTAACTTTTTACACAAGCATTTAGTGGATCGCAAGGTTCTGATTACCATTAATTAGTTTTTTTTTTTTTGCTGTACTTAGCTTTTTTAACTCATTGCGCACAAGTCATGCCATCATGGCATTTCAGATACACTACACCCAAACAAAATCAATTAGCATTTCTCCTATCAATGTTAGATCGAACGCACATCGACCGACAAATGTTAAGTGCTTAATCTTTGGATTTGTGGATGCAGCTAGTGAACCATGGGATACCAAGTGAAGTAATCGAGGAAATGGGTAGTGTGGGAAGGAGATTCTTTGAGCTGCCATATGAGGAGAGGTGCAAGTACATGACCCCAGATATGAGGTCCCCGGTCAGGTATGGCACCAGCTTCAACCAGAACACAGACCCATTCTTCTGCTGGAGAGACTTCCTCAAGCTCAGTTGCCACCCCTTGCCACAACATCTCCCCTCTTGGCCCTCCAATCCTTCGGACCTAAGGTGATCATCTCTCTCTCTCTCCCTCTATCTCGACATCCACTCTGACCAAAAGAGCTTTACATGTCCTTTTGGCTATAGGCGGGCCTAGACAAAAAGTTAGGTCTGACCTTAAAGCTTGGGCTGGGCATGAATTGCCCTCATCACCTCTAGTCACTATTGTACTATTGCACAGACCCGTTCTGATAGATCATGGTAGTCATATTGCAAAAACCCACGATGGACTCTATCAAAAGAAGCAATGGAACGACACATGTTCTTATGGTCTGTCGTGTCAGCAGCTGAACTGAGTTTTATGTACAAAAGTTTCCAATGAACAGCTGAAAATGGATCTTTCAATCTTGTTCTAGGAGGCCTATTGAAGCTTGGTTGGATAACCATGGCCCTTATCAATTATGGAACAGTTCATTCTAATCAACTCTATTAATTACGTTGTATTGAAGTTGTTTTTGCAGCGAGCCATCACAATTTACTCGTTTTGTTCTACTTTACACAAATTAATTAGATAGCATTCATAGAATTGCAACAGTTACTGTACGCTGGTATATATGTTATTCCCTGTCAAGTACGTGAGATGGACCCTGACGTTTTGATCTCTTAATGTGCTTGAAACAGGGAAGTAGCTGCTAACTACTCCACGAAGACCAAGTTCTTGTACTTAAAGCTCATGGAGGCTATTCTGGAGAGTCTCGGGGTGAAGGAAACAGCACCAAAACTTATGGAAGATCACGAAAGTGACCGGATGGCAAAAGATTTAGAGAATGGGAGCCAAATCGTCATGGTGAATTGCTACCCGGCGTGCCCCGAACCCGATCTCACGCTTGGCATGCCGCCGCATTCAGACTATGGCATGCTCACGCTCCTTCTTCAGGACGAGTCGGTCCAGGGTCTTCAGATTCACCATGGAGGGAGATGGGTGACTGTGGAGCCACTCCCCAACTCATTTGTTGTCAATGTTGGTGACCATCTTGAGGTTGGTTCATTGCTTTTAACCCTCCAAAACAAATTTTCGGTTTATAATTAAATGAGTTAGGGAAACAATATATCTTTTGTTATTGCAATAGGATTCAAAAGTTCCTATAGGTTTAATTGATACTTACAAAGGCTTTTGAATTGTGGCAGATATTCAGCAATGGGAAATTCAAGAGCGTGCTTCATAGGGTTCTGGTGAACCCTTCGTCGACCCGAATCTCTATTGCTTCACTGCACAGCCTATCCTTTGACAGCACAGTCCGGCCGTCGCCAAAGCTGATCGACGAAGCTAATCCGAGGCGCTACAAGGACACCGACTTTGCCAGTTTTCTTCACTGCATTTCATCCGTTGGACACAAGGACAAGAATTTCTTAGACACCAGGAAATTGACCTAACCATGCATATTAATCACCCAGGAAATCCTTGGCGATTTTGACAATTTGTAGTTGCAAATTGAGCAATTATTAGCAGAACATGGGAATTGAATTCCCTTTCTATCGTTAGTTGAATCACATATGATGATAAAATAGATTATTTTACCAAATCGTATGTTGCGAACTTCACTGTTGGCGTTTGGTCGTCGCAAGGTCAATCATCAAGTTGGGTCGTTTAGACGGCCTCTATAAGCATACCCGTCCAAAAAAAAGTAGAAAACTTAGGAGATAATTACAGGACAAATCTAAATATTTGCCATAATAGTGTAATAAGTCCTCGCAAAAAGTTTCTTTTCATGCCTTTTATATATAAAAATTTGCAACTTGGATGCACGTTAAGCCGTTCCGTTAACTCTATCAGCTTTAAGTCGATGGCAAATGTCAAGTGATAACTTTTATTATCTTTTCAATCCTACATGATTGTTAATAAGAAAATGCCACACAGATTTTTTTGCGTACACAACGCAGGCCCATATAAGTAACGTCTTCCACCATTTCTGTTCCCTATAGATGGACCCTCTCTCGAAATGTTACATTAAAATCCTCCTCTTTTATACCCTCAATCGCTTACTGGTACCTGGGCTTTCACAAATCATTTGACAACTTCTTTTAAACTGGTGGAGGCAACAATTTGTGATAGCAACAGAGAATGGTGAATTTAGAAGAAAGCGAGACACCTTTGAGAGAGAGAGAGAGAGAGAGAGAGAGAGAGAGAGAGAGAGAGAGGGGATAGAGAGAATTCCAAGCAAGCACATGTTGCCGCATTCAGAGAGGCCAAATTCGGAAAGAGAGAGAAGTGGTAGGGTGGCCAAGCTCTCGAGCATCCGGTCGTTGACTTTGCTCTTCTTCAAGGCTCCATACAGATCTCAGGTTCTCAATTCCAGATACATTGCAGAGACCACTAATGATTCAAAGGCATAGAGCCCTTCTCGTCTCCTTGTTAAGATGCCTAATATTCCACTCATCCTGCAACTTTGTGCCTAGGGAGGGCACTTCGCGTTCGTTGTCAAGTTTGGGTTGTCAGTTCGTGTTGGGTTGTGTTTTGTTGAACATGTCAAAAAATCATGTATTTTAAAAATTTGTGTCGATTATCTAGCTTGCCAATGTCTGCTTTCATAAACGTGTTAAATTGTGCGAAAATATGCCGTCTCTGCTCGAGCAATTGCAGAGATACATTAGACAAAGACTGACGAGAGTCTTAATTAGATGTTCTTACTAGCCAATACGCACATGGCCCCATCTGTAAACTCTGGTCTAGGGTATACACAAACCATGTTTCTTTCCGAAGCATGATTAATTTAAGGTGTTAGAAATTCCTAGTGAAGTCCCAAGACATTGTCATGTACTGTGTGTACAAAGCAAAACGAAGTTGTTTCAAGATCATTCTTTATTGGGTATTCCGGTTGAAAAAGATAGTGATCTACAGAATCTGGTGATCCTTTTCACTTCTCAGCACAGGTAAACAGCAGTTGATTACTCCAATAAATTGAAGTCCTTGTACTTGAACCTCATGGAGGCAATCCTGTAGAGCCTAGGAGTGAAGGAAACACCGCCACGAAAAGTAACTTGAAGAAGATGAGGACGACATTTCAATGGAAGATTTATAAAATTGGAATCAACTCTTGTGGTGAACTGCTGTCCCGTGTGCCCTGAGTCCAACCTCACGCTTGGCGTGCTGCCTTGCTCGGACTATGGGTTTCTCACGCTTGTTTTTCAGGACGAATTCGTTCAAGGTCTTCGGATTCAGAATGAAGGCAGATGGACAACTGTGGAAGCACTCCCCAAATACCTCGGTGGTCACTGCTGGTGGCCATCTTAGTTTCCCGTCCATGGTTATACACCCGTAATCGCTTTATGCAATGTTACGATCAGCCTAGCGATACTTTATTCCTAACGCATCAACACGGAATCGATTCATGCTGCTTCTTCAATTACTATCGGCATTCCATAAGAGGGAGATTCAACTTCAGAGGGTTCTGTGATTCCTTCAATGAACCGAATCACAGATTGCATCATTCTGTGCTTTGTCCCTCAATAGCGTGGTTCTCCCATCTCCGCAGCTCATTACCGAAGCAAATCCAACAGACCGATTGAGCCAGTTTCCTTCATTATTTTTGTCCGGCGAATACAAGGGCAAGAATTTCCTGGACTTGATTGCACCAAATCTGAAAATCTAAATCCCAGTGAATGTTTGATACACAGAATTCAGGACTTTCAGTACACCATTCTTTCACTTCCCATTGCTCCAGATCCCATCCTGGACGGCTGCGATCTCTGGCTTTTGGATCCAACGGTGAAAATCTGTGGAGGCACGATGCCCAGGAGGAACCATAGACTACCCACTCTCGTCCAATATTGCATTTCGTGTAGCTCTTTCCTCTGCTTTTCAAACTAGCACAATCTGATAAGAGTTTGCATTAGCAATTACCCCAAGCCATTCAATGAGCCGCATTTGACTATGAAAATTGTGGAGTGAGTTCAAATGCTAATTTTCCAAATGCTTTGAACAGTTTGGATTTTGAATGAAAAGAAAAAATCCATATACTCAACATTAAAAGTCACAGCTCAAAGGTTGAAAACCACAAGAAATGGGCACTTAAGTTTGAGAGAGGTTGCTGTCGGGTCGACAACTTTGGGCCATTTTGAGGTCTCTAGGCTGTTTCATCGTGTCCTCTTTGGCATTTACAAACGAAACAAAGCATGCTCGGATAACCAAAATGCCCCACACTTCATTCTCAGCTTTGTTAGCTAGTAGCTGACATAATAGCATTATCTCCTTTTTCGTGGCCGTGAAGAAAAGGTGCTTCTCTGGTGAAATCTCTCATTGTCAAGCCTCTTGCATGGAATATGCACTTGATCACTAACTATAATTTCGTCAATAGCAGACAAATGACTTAGAAGTATCGCTTGTAGATTGTTACTGTTCTTTCTTTTAGGTGGAAATTAATCTGGGTTTATAGAGGAGCCTGTCACCTTGACCTCACTAAAATGAATCCTTGATCTTTGATAGAATCACGAGCTAAATCCACTCTTGATTAAAATTGTCCTTCAATCCAAAATGAGATGTCCGAGTCTTGATGGGCCGAAACATATATGAGCCCGATAAGTCCTTGTTCAACCATGCACATAGTAAGCCTTGTGACTACCAATTACCATTTACCTTCTTATATTTTAGTGTTACTATTGTAATTGCATGCTGCGCTAAAGAATTTTGTTCTTCCGTTTCTTTCCCAACATATGAAGAAGGTATTTCGTGCGGTAGTCACGTGAGAATGATTGATTGAGAAGCAAGTCGATCATAAGCAAAAGATTAGAGAATTCAAATACAATTATGGTTTATATTCACATCATGCGGATATCATGATCTAGATGGTTATATTACGCCACTCATGAAACCGATGTATAAATCATTTCTCCATTCGTATGTATCCGTGCTGCTATTTAGCCGGACAGGACACCCGAGAGGAACCTCTTGTAAATACTTTTACGTTTGATGCCACAACTTTTACAAGTACTTCCAATCACAATTAAAAAAGAAAAAAAATCGAGATAACTATTTGTTCTTTAAAAGCCTTGAACTTTATGCACTTTTTAGTTTCTTTCTAAGGTTACGAAACATAGTTATGTGTACAATCAGAATGTGCTTACCAGTTTAGAAGTGATTATTAATGGCTTCGGATTCCTCGTATGTGCATGTGTGTAAGGTCAAATTCTAGCTACACAAATATAAAAACTGATGGGACACATGGACCGTGTCAGGCTGGAGGTTTTATTGGTGAGAAGGAGGGAGTGGGACTTTGAAGAAGTACAGCTGAAAAGTGATCAACCGACATTCTCTTGAAGCCTCCTTTGGACCAACAAGGGTTTCCGGTCACGGACCAGAACTTCTCCGCTATCTAAAGGTTCGTTAGATGCAAGAAGGAGACTTTGTTCAGGACAAATTGCACAGTCAAAACAAAGAAAAAAGGGAATATGATTCAAACATTGGCAATAAGGCATGGTAAGAGAGGATCTCGTTTGATAATTAGGTGTTGTCTTGATCGATTTGATTTTCAATCGACACATCGCAGTAAAAAATAATAGATAACTATCCTCATCCCATGTATTCCTTCGGTCACTCTTCTTCCATGTATTGATTTCATGTTGGAACGCCGAAGGTGACTTAAAAGCTTTCCATCGAAATATCTTCACATAGGGATTTCATAGTTCACCCATCGTTACAATTCTTGAAGGATCAAAAGTTCAGTGAAGACACTTACACTAAATAGACAAAACCGACTAAATCCACCTTATTTAGATGATATTAACATTTCTTTTTAGTGGCGGCACTATTTCCACCCCCTAAATTACCAAATCCACCCCATTTACACTAAAATGACAAAACTGCCCTTAAATTTTCGTTCTTTTTTTAAATTATTTTTTTTCCTTTTTCTATTTAGGATCTAGTTTACCATAATTAAGCATTTTGCATATTTTTTTAGAGTATTAAAGAAAAGTGTGTTCTTAGATATTTCGATAACGTTTTACATACTTCGTGTAATATTATCTCGTCAATAGCAAGCAAAAAAAGACATTCTTTAATATAGTAAAAAACTAAAAAAATCTTTTCTTCATTAGTAATCTTATAACAATTATCTATTCTTTGTCCCTCTTATCTCAAAATCTCACTTTCTCGGCCAACTTTTTATTTTGATTTCGTTAGAGTAAAATATATATCAAGTATATTTATTTACCATACTAAAGAATTTATCTTCTTTTTTCTTTCCTTACTATATTAGCAAAGATACTTTTACACACAGCATGGAGAGGAAGAGGAGCGGTTGAGGGGTAACCGCAAGTCCATTCTTGGACCAAGAAGGTTCACCGTTCGCTCCTGTTACCAAAACAGCAGAGCCCGCAGGAAGGAGCAGGGAGGGAAACGGGAGGAGCCTCCTCCTGTTTTCCCCAAAGAAGATTTAACGACTCGTGTGGCGATGACAAGTGTCGTGCGTGTCGTGGCCTTATACCCTCCTTCCAAAGATCATCCTCCTTCCCTCTTCCTCCTCCTCACTTCCAACTTTTCTCCACCCTCTTTCTCTCTCTCTGTCTCTCTGTCTCTCTCTCGCTGAGT